TGATAAAATGTATTTTTTTAAGTTGTCCTACTATTTTTGATATTCTGTTACTGTGCAAACAAACAGCAAACATAGTTACAAAACTAACAGCAGGCAGGAGAAGGGCTGCTTAAATACTCTGAAAAAGTCTGTAAGTTTTTTCTGAAATAGGCTAAGTTACAGAAAACAGGAGGTGGTTTTTTTTTTTTCCCTTGGTGACACAAGTAGTTGTAGCTAATAACTTTAATATTCTGTATGTATCTGCTTTCGTTTCGTGATATGTTTGTACCCACTTGCATTCCTGTTCACAGAGGTGGAATTGTTCCACTACATACTGAATAGCAGCATGGATGAAATGAAGAATTGAGGAAGAAAAACAATAGAATTATCTGTAGAAAAGAAGAAAAGCCCAAATCAGGTGACAGAGTAAAATAATAAGAGAGATGGGAGCATGCTAAGATTGGATGAGAAAAGGTGGGTTAGTAATCAGCGACATGGGGGAGGAGGCAGCGGTTTTAATGGTTACACTCAGGAGTAGCAGGAAGTCATGAGTCAAGCAAACACACCCTTGCTGAATTGAGCACAAAATAGAACGATGCTTTATGAAAGGATGTAGGGATGTTCAAGGGTCTGTGCTGTACTTTCTTACCTGAAAAGAGTGAGGATTCAGATCCTGTGTGTTGGCACCATTCAGCTTGAACCGTATTCCTTTCCTTCTCAGGCCCCCAGTGCAAGATCTTGTGTTGACCTAGATAACTGCAGAGAGAGGACATGAGTAAAGCCAGTAGGACTGCAGGATGTTGTGCTTAACCCCATATTAAAACAAAGACTTAAAAAAGTAAAAATGTTTAGTAAGATGTGAGCTTTCCAGGGATTATGCAATTGTGCTTAGTTCAACTTCTGATTTTAAAATATTGTGTAGGCTCTTGCGTTATTTATCGGTGGCTTCCCTTCACCACTTTATTTGTTGGTTTGTTAGTTTTGTCGTATTTTATGACAACCTTTAAATAATATTTAAATTAGATTTGATTTTAGTGAAGGCCCTTCTTAATAGGCGTTACTGAGAATGAGAGGTGTTGGTCTAAGATGTCTGTTTTTGCTTTGGTCACTTGAAGGCAGCAGTGGAATTGAGTTTGTTTTATGTGGTACAACTTGCACTTCTGGGACTCTCAGAAAAAAGAAAGAAGGGAATTGAGTTGTAAGGACTTGGAGGTTTTCATTTGTAGCGGTAGTTTTATTTCTTTGCTTGTTATGTGTGAATCGGATCATCTGAAGTAGGACTAGCATTTCTCCGTTTCATTAAGGAGAGGAATCGTGGAGCAGTGGGAGAGTGAAGTTTGAGCTGTACTGAGAAAATGGCTCACTCTGGAGCTCTGCAGTGTCAGCACAGCCCTCCCCAGAGAAGCTTGGGTTTTGCTGAGAACCGTCAGCCTTCCCTTCTCCGAGAGGCATTCCTAAACCCCAGGGAATCCCCTCCCATAAAGTTCTGGAGTAAGCGGTGTGGAGGAATAATAAGCACTTCCTTCCTTTCTATTTTCAGTGACTGAACTAGAAAGTATCCACTACTGCTGTAGCTCGCGCTCACAGAGCTCCGTGCAGCGTGGTCTCTTCTCCTCGCCCTCCTCCCCCAATCTTCAGTTCTTCTGCAAGGGGAGGTTGTGCAGCAAGTTTCAAGCTGAAAAAAATTCAAAAAGTGTCACCAGGAATATGGTATACTGACTTCATTACTTAGCTACATGTTTAATGTAAAATTCTGTATGTTGTCCGCAGAATTTTCTTGTACTCCTGGATTTATTTTTTCCTAGCATTGTGTGTTGGGCTTGCTTCCCCCACCCCCAGCTCTCACAGAGTCTTTGTTTAGCCAGGAAGGCATGGAGAGCAGCTTGATGTTTTGGATCTTGACAGTCATGTTGGAGTTGTTGGAAGTGTCTCACTCCTTCCTCTGGTTTCGTATAAACAGCTTCCCTGGCTGTTGCAGAAGGGAGAACCTTTCCGCTGTGGGAACAGTGGCCAGCAAACAGCAGCGGTGCGTTGGATGTAAAATCCTTTGGTGGCCAGAGCCAGGGACATTTTGTCAAGTGGCCTGAGTGGTGGTGATCAGTAACAGAACCTTTCAAAGAACTGCAAATGTTTGTCTCCACGATCTGCGCTCCTCTGTATGAGTACTTCCAAGAGAGGTACTTTGCTACCAAATCTGAATTTTCAGATGACGATACGAAAACTTTAATTTTAGTCAAACTGAATAATTTTTTCCAGTCTCCTCCCCAGTTATTTCATTGCAAGCTTTGCATTTGTATCTTAAGTTTTGTTTGAAAAGCTGAATGCTAGGCTGTTCTTTTATAGAAGTTGCAGTGTATGATCTGAATTCAGAAATATTCTTCCTGAAGGTTATTGATACTTAGGAAGGAAAAACTCAGGCCTGATGGGTTTAGTTAAACTTCCTGTTGTGAGGGGTTGGAGTGAGACTGTTTCTGTAGTCTCTGACTCAGATTCCAGTCTAAAAGAGTTCAACATCACTCATGAAATAAATAGGAATAAACTCACTGTAACATCAATATTTCGCACATTGCTTAATAAAATCACGGTGGAATGAAGATTGTTCTGACTCCTGATGGCAGGTTTCTTTCTGCTTTTGGCTCAAAAGGCCAACAGGCGGGTGTGTAACACGGGACAGTAATCTTATTGCTGGTTTGCACTTGTAAAACTGCAAGTCAACACATGAAAAATCAGTGACTTTCTTTGAAAATCAGGCCTTCTTTTGTAATTGCAATGATAAAGTAAACTTCAACACCTCTAATGTGGGTTTTAATTTAAGCTCTTGCCGTGTGCCCTGTTGTAGAAAGACAGAAGAGCAGCATTCCCCAAAATACACAGCTTTGTTTCTGTCACATGGATTTTGTCACTTCCATGGCTGTCTAGCAGCAATTAGCATATTCTGTTGTTGAAAATGGTTTTACTGCATTATTGTAATTTCCAGGGTAGCATTAAAATGTATACATGGGACATGTGAGAAGGAACTGCAAAATTATTTTCAGCTAATTCCAGATACAGTATCCAAAGGCTCCCTCCAAATGTTTTGCCTAATTCAAATAAAGGATGAGATAATGCTGAAAAAGACCAGGAACCTACGCATTGGCTGTCTTCCATTCCTACAGTATGCATCTAAGTTAACCATAAATTGTTTCGTACAGTTAAATTGGCTAAGTGGGGTGTTGCAGTGTGGTGCCGTTCTGAGGCATTCGGTTGTTTTGGGATTTGGCAGAAATCCAGTTTGCATATGTGCAGAGAAGCAGAAAGTATCAGCTCCAGAATGTGTTTCATCTGTAGCCTGAAAGGAAAGTCGTATAGTTTAAGGGAGGAAAGAAAACTTCTCTATTTAAATGAAGTATATGCTGTTTTAAGGAGCTGTTACCTCCCAGACCTGTAGGTGCTTTAGAGCTACTGAGCAGCATGAGCAGATGAGACCTTTGGCACCAAGCCACCGAAGGCACTTGAGGAGGTTGGTAGTCAGGGGGAGGAGGAAGCAACGGTGTGCCTCAGGGGTCAGTCATCATATGGTTTGGGGTATTTTCTGTAAAAGGGAAGCTACAAAAAAGAGTTTGAAATAAAGCTTCAGGGAGCAAAGAGGAAACATGGCTTTCTCTGTGTCGGGGAGTAAGAGTGGAGAGCATGAGGAAAAGCAAGAGTAAGAAAATTTGGCAGAACAGTGTGCATTATATCAAGTTGAAGTCATGGTTTCCTATTTAAAAACACTGATATTTGGGTGTTGTTTTTTCCTAAGCTCCTGTACATCCTATGCAGTAGAACTGCAGATTCTCTGAAGACATGCCGGGGAGGGGGGTGTCAGGGAGGGCTGCTGCAGACAGGCTGGTTACGTACCTGCTCCTTTGTGGTCAAATGTCATTTCTGGTTGCAGTAAGCGTGTTCTTTGCTTCTACCTTGCATTAAATTCTGAAGAATTTTGCTTGCACTGAAAGTAAAACTAAAAGTATCAGAGCAAGACCTTTGAACAAGGATAAAAACATAAATATTTGTGTATCCTGCTCTTTGAACAGATTTGAAAAGCCAAATTCATTTTCAGTCAGGTGCACCTATCAATGAGTCTGTTCTTTCCTGCATTGTCACTGCATGGTATACATGGCCAGAGGGCTTTCGTGATAAAGAGCTGCTGCAGGAAAAGTTTCAGAACTGAATAAAGCACAAGGGAAGGGTTTGCACTGATGTAACACCAGTCTTCGTGAATGGTCATAGTGTAAGTTAACTACTAATGTGCAAGAGTAGTACTATTTGCATTGCGTTCTTTTTAAATGTGGGTGACTAGTGTGTTGACAGCATCCACGTTAAACACCTGGAAAATCTCCTTACACTTATTAGGCATTACAGAATCTGAGCTGACTAACCGTAATTAAATTATATTTTCTATCAGTCTTCAGCCTTGTTCCCCAAAGATTCCCTTGTTAATTAGAAGGCTCAGGATGTATGCACAAGCATTTGAATCTGCCACTGGCAAATGAATACTGCTGAGGAATCGGATTCTTCCTATCAGGCTGGTTAGTGCTGTGGTGAACGCTGATGTTATCAAGGCAGTAACCAAGTTGCTGAGACAGTAACAGATGATTTGAAGATAGAAACTTGCTGTGGCTGCACAAGAGTAGCAGCTTTCAGGCCAGGAAAACTTAAAGTTTTTTATGGTAGGTGAGCTTTGGCTTAGGAAGACGAGTTCACAGATGTTTAAGAAAATGCACATTACAATTTAAACTTTGCTTTTTTTTCTGGGAATAGTTCAGAAGCATATTTAGAAAGTCTCTCTTCTGCAAGCCTCCCTCTTTTGCTACTGGCAGGAATCAGTTGACTTCAAATCCAGATCTCCCTGTCTGAAGGACCGCAGTGTTGGTTTGTCCATTATTCCTCTGACCCTTGGTGAAATTCTGTATGCTGCAGAATCCAATCCGTATTTTAAGATTTCCGTCCTTTTCAGTTGGGTCCCTCCTTAGGGGCTTCCTCTTTTCCTTTCTCTGCAGGGAATCTGGCGTATCCCCGTGGATGAGATCGACCGCCCAGGCAGTTTTGTCCGCTCTATTGTCTTACTGCTAAACGTACTGTCACAACTAAAGGATTACACCACCTTGCTGAAGGTCTCATCTATGCTCCAGAGGACCCCTGATCAGGGAAAGTATGATATATTTGTTTTTATATATTACTCTGTAAAGCTTTGAATGCCTTTTGTTCACTGTGTAACTGTTTTATTTACAGACGTTCTTAGTTTAGGAAAAATGTCTTTAGATGGATTCCCTTGGGAATGTGTGGCATGATGGTTAATTTTTTTCAGGATTATGATTCCATAATACAGTGTAGAATTTCTCTGCGTTTCTCTTGAAGCTCGGAGCAGCCATACAGCTGCCTTAACGGACTTGCAGGCATTTTCTGTCACGTGGAGGGACTCGCTGGTGGAACAGAGCATCATGACTTCTGCACCCCTCTGTTGGCCTCTTGCGTAAGAGTGATGTCCAGCGAGGGAGGTCACGGCCCAGGCATCCTGCCTTCCTGTAATCCGTGATGGACTGAACAATGGTTATCCTATTCACAGTGATCTAATTTTAATTGCATTAACCTTATTTAAGAAAAAAGAAGCCATTTAACGTGAGCTATATACAGATTCGTATCAGTGGGAAGACCAAAATAAACACCTAAGGAAAACATTGAAGCAATTGAGGTAAAATTCTGATAGCTTGCCGAGTAGGAGATGTTGAGATTAGTCTCTGGCAAATGCTTAAGAAATTGAACTGAATGATTGATGGCAATAAGTTGGAGGCATTGAAGGTTTCTTCATGTGTTCTTGAGTGTGAATGCATGTGAATTTGCATAAATCATAGTATGTCTGGGAATATGTCACCACATGTTCAGCAAACTTGAAGCCAAAAATACTTTGACTTTTAGCATATCAGAAGTACTGGACCATAGAAGGTTTAAATTCTGTCCTAAGCAAGCCTGTAGTTGTGCTAAAAATATTGTGTTATTTATAAGTCTAGACTGAATTTAACAAACAAGTAATTTGAAATGTTGGATCAGCCAGTGCCAGCCATGGTGAACTGCAGTTGTTACAGGAACTTACAAATGCAAATATTCTGGGTGTGCCTGGTGTATTCCTGTAACAACCCTATCTTTAAAAATAGGGGGTTGGTAGCTGAACCTGAGTTACTTCTGAGTCAGTTTTTTGTATCTTTTGTCTGAAAAGCAAACCATGAAATTACCAATTTAATAGAATACTGTAGAGAGAAAATGTTTATTAAAAATATTGGCTTTTTGACTGAAATAGTACCCTTCAAAATTATTGACTTGATTTTTAGCCCTCTCATTAGAACCAGCCAATTCTGAAATAGAAATTTAGTTTCCAATTAGGTAGGATTGATGGCTGGAAATGTTTTCCTTGGAAGTGGACTAAAGCATTGTGTCACAATACACTGAAGTTAAAATGCTCCAGTAAATTAAATGAAGCTATAGAGTGAATAAGTTTTACAAATCCAATATTTTTTTATAATACTAAATAGGAAAAAATATAGTAGCGCACTAATGTTTTAACTCTAAAAAAACCTAGGTTCAAGGGCAACGAGATATGGCCAACAAGAGAGGATTTGCTGATGTCCTTAATCTCACATGCACAGTTTATCCAGAACATGAAAATCCCATGACAGTTCAAGGTAGTTTGGGTGACTAGCACCCTTTTTCAGGAAGAGTTTTGGATAAAAAGCTGGTATTTGAGGGGCACAGAAGGCTTGATATAAGAAAACTGTAGTTCTGGTTGTCTGTTTTGCCCTGGGTTTGATTGGTTTTGTTTTTTTGATTTTTGGTGTTTGGTTTTTTTTTTTTTCATTTCTCCGCTTTGCTCTGTTTGTAGACAGTTTTGCTTCATGCATGTCATCTTCGATGACTGTGGGGAGGAAAGAGGTAGAGGGAAACATAGCCAAAGTGTTATTTCAGTATGCAACTGTATGGGTTTTTTGTTTGTCTAACTTGTTTTAGAATTGTTGTGTGGAGTCGTTTTTTGTTTTTTAATGTCCTGGTTCTTGCTTTTAAAGTCCTGTAAGCTTTTGGCAGTTAGCTTACTTTCTGTTATCTTACTGTTGCACAGGAAGTACTTGCGTGATGCCGATCGCCAAGTGCTGGCCCAACAAGCCTTCGTGCTTACAGTGAAAGTGTTGGAGGACACTCTCAACGATCTGACACAGGTAAGGCAGCAATGTCTTTAATGGTCACTGATTTAATGATGGGGTTTTTCTAGGTTCAGTTTACTCATTCCTTGGATCTCCTGAGACTGAAGGGCTATATTATGATGATTTATTTCTAATACATTTTGTTTGTATGCAACTACACAGAAAACTTTCTTCCAATGCTTTGTTGTTTTTCACTTTTGAAATCCAGTAACAAAGATGGTTGTTGAGAATGGATTGCAGTAAGTTTGGTTTGACTCTCCCCTGAACTTCAAATGATGGGGGTTACACAGAGTATAAGAACAGTACAATTTCAGGTGAGGTCTATTGGAAATTTCCTTTTAAAATGAACTGCAATTCCTCTTGCAAAGCAAAACCAGACACCTAGACGTTACATGCCTATCCATTTTTTTAACTGCTAGTCCTTGACAGCACCATACCAGTTATTACATTTAATTGTAATTTAACAAAGTCATACAGAGACTAATCAGCTTCTGAGTTAAGATAACTGGAAATTGGAAGTTCTGGTAAACACATTCAAGGAAGAACTTCTTCCTAAGGGTTTTCCAAGTTAACAGAAGAGTATAGGTTTAACAAGTTAAATGAAAACATCCTTAAGAACACTGTAACTCTGTGTATGAAATAGTTTGTTCATAAATCCAGATGGAAGAATTGTATCATTAGCAACTTTTGAAAGAAACGATGATGTTACTGAGGTTTTCTACCTTTGGACCATCACCAAAGTAAAGGTACAAAAATTAAAATACTCTAGCAGAGTTTAGCATATTTGATCTACTAACAAGAAGTTATGGAAGACCAGCCAAAGGGAAGATTCTTAAATTTGAGGTTGATCTGCAGCTGCCAAACAAAACAGGTTCAGTTTTGATTTCAATGCATTAGAAGAAAATTTTGTGCTGGTAACACCTTGGACTTTATTTGGTTGGATCCCATAGTATAGACTGAAGTAGTGGGGTGGAAAAAAAACATTGCAGCTTTGGTTCAGCGTGTGCTGTTGATTACTCTGATGTTTTCACTGGTTAAAATATTTAAATTGTAAGACTTGTGGCTTGGATTAATTAATATTTAGGAACAAACAAGATGAACATGGAATAAATGCATTGTCTTCAGCAAAGGCAGTAATGTGAAGGTACTTGTTGTCGATACTCATGGTGGTTGTAGCTGTGCTCAAATGTTTTCTGATTTCAATAATAACACAGAAGAATGACTGCTTTTATTAAGGTTTCAGAAGATCAGAGTTCCAAGTCTTCCAATCCTTCGGGAAGGATGACAACAGACGTCTCTAATAAAACTAGTGCTGAAGAGGGGAAAGATGTCCTTCCCAAAAAGCCAGTTTTATCAGATGGAGTAGTGCACAGTACTGAAAATGGGGTAAAGGAAGTGACCCAGGGACAAATTCCCAATGCTATGGACATATTGGAACAAGAGGACAAGAATGACAAGGAAATTAAAGAACTCCCTAGGCCTGGTTCAGTTGAGCCTATGGATCTTGATGGATATTCCAATGACCCTGAAAAAATTGATTCTTCATCTAAACGCAGCGATCCAGACCGTCTTCAGTCTGGCAGGAACTCAAAGGACAGAGCTCCAGAGAGCCGGACTCCAGAACTTTCTTTGGAAGAGCTAAGTATCAGCTCAAAACATCAGCAGCAGGCAGCTAAAGGAATAGTTCAAGCAGTACCTGCAGAAGAACCTGTCCAGAGATCAAACAGAAAGAGGAAATTACTTGAGGATGTGGAGTCTGGGAAAACACTTCTACTCGATGCTTATCGGGTATGGCAGCAAGGTCAGAAAGTTATGGCCTATGACCTGGGTAAAATTGAGAAGATCATGTCTGAAACGTACATGCTGATTAAACAGGTAAAGTATTTTGTCATTAACTGTAATTTTTCTGTGTGACCTCAGACATGATTATAGAATAACAGTAATTGCCAAACAAAGCAGTATAAAATTGACCCTATATCTGTTCAAAAGTTGGGGAGATAAATATCTGCCAAAGAACCACCTCTCTTGACAAGACCACTACTGTGGGTGGGGGAAGATTTCTGAAATCAGTTAAGAGCTGTAATTCCAGTTATGTGGGGTTTGTTCATGTTAAATGTTAGTTTGAATTAGGGGATAGTTGTGTATCTTTGAATATATACTCCTGAATAACTTAAGGTCACTGTTCTGCTGTAGAAGTGCTGCTTTTCCCCTTTATTCCCGTGCTCTACATCCCCATTTCGTCTGAATTTAATTAGATTTATAGATGAGCTAAGTAATTACAACTTCATTGGTTGTGATTCTGTGTTCAGGTGGATGAAGAAGTAGCACTTGAACAGGCAGTCAAGTTTTGCCAGGTGCATATGGGAGCATCAGCACAGAAACAGGTAAGCTCCGTGAAGTCCCTGGCTCCTTGTAACGTGTTCTTAGTCTGTACAATCGAGTCTGTTGCTGAGTGTTTGCAGCAATTAGAAAGACCTGCTTTCCTCGTATTGTTGTCATCTAAGATAAGTGAGGCCACGTTAGTGTAGAGAGCTCGTCCCTTTGGTTAGGGTCGTTGCTACTGTTTACGTTGGGCTTGAAGCACAGTTTGTATGCCCAGAAGCTTTTGAGGAAAGCCCAAACAATCTTCAAATTGAAATATTTATGGCACAGTATAATTTTCTTAATGTCCACATCATTCCTCAGCATTTCATGGATGGTAATTACTTCTCTCTGATCCCTAAGGGCGTACAACCTTGTCAGCTCTTCCCTTTCTAGCATTGCACTGTGCTTCAGAGGTAACATATCTTTTCTCTCAACTTGCATGGTTGAGAATCTGATTTTAACTCTAATATATTACTCATTTTGGTTTTAGCTTGTAGTTTCTGTGTTTATACAGCAGACACTGAGCTTTAAAAAGATGTTTATTTACTAGTCCTTAATGTGAAATCAAAGCCAAGAAGAAAACTCAATGACATTTTTAGTGGTCATTCACTTTGCCAGCAAACCATCAGTTGAAAGCCCCAAAGCGTTTTCTAGTTTGTACTTTCTGTAACTTTTGCCACCGGCACACAATGGAGCAGTTACTCAGCAGATTTTGACTAGAAGATAAAATATGTTTAAAAAAAAAAAAAAATCTATGTTCCTAGTTAATAGTCTGTGTTCTCATGCTGCTCAGGGCTTTTTACATGTTTTATGCTATGAAGACACAGACTGTGTTATCGATTGCTTGCTCTCAAAATGTCTGAAAATATTTGAAAAAAATCTGTTGGAGTGCAACTTAGAAACCTTTTGTTGTCTTTGTTTCACAAGTGGTGGCCTGTATCATACTGAAGTGTGTGAAACACGAAGCATGTCTAAGGCTTTCTGTACAAGAAAGGTGGATACTATATGAATATGTTCAGTCATGTTCATTACTGATTTAAAGAAGAGCTCTTTCAGAATTGTCTTGAGCGAACTTGTTTTATGAGCTGCAGAAATTTATTCTGTTTTTCTGCAGTTTGTTTCTTCTGTCCCTCAAGTGTCTCTCCTATTATTTCATCTTTCCATCGTCTCCTGAAACTTCATCTTGCTGTCATGTGTCTTACCCAGTACAAGTGTAGGAGGAGAAGTACATGCCATGGCTGGTGGAGAGAGATCCACACGCTGCATTCCAACTTGCCAGTTACCAGAAAAAAAGTGTTATGGTGGCAGGGAGGGGGAGAATTGCCTGATTCTCCGTCACTTGATTCTTTCCCTTTGCTTAGGCACTGATTTTCATAAAATGGAAGGATAGTTGAAGTCTTTCAGAATTTCTCTTCACTTTCCAAATTTGGATGAGGCTTTTATTCTGTAAACACCAGCCATCTCTGCTTTGCAAAAGCATAAGCTTTGGAGGAGGTACTTCTCTGATGTTAGCAAGTTAAATGCTGTCTTAATGTGAAATGGATTTGAATACTTATCTCAACTGATTTTCAAAATAAATAATTTCTTAAACCTTCAGATAATTCTTCTAGTTTCTGAAGTAAAGCTGATATTTGCCACCAGAACACTGCGTTCTTCAGATCTTTTCAACCTAACCTCAAATAACGCACGTTGCCTGGTCCTCCCTTCAGTGTGTTAACGTGTGTGATAAATGTTTAAATGTTTAGTGCTGTCTACTCTGCAGCTTCAGGAAAGCAGACATTCCTGTGTCTTTTGTGAAAGGTTCCAGAGGTTTTTTTGTTTCCATTCAAGATATGTACCTTCCAGTGGAGCTTGAACCTCGTGTTTGCATGCATGGTTCTGTTGAATCTGTGAGTACTTGTTCTCCACATCTCACTTGGATGAATATTGCTGACTGTTGCCTTGTCCAGGAGGGTTGAGGAGGTTCGCACCCTCAGGGCAGCCTCTGTTACACAGCATTTCTTACGGACAAGACTACCGGCACGCTAAATTTCTTCCTGAAATGGTGTCGGTTTTAGTCGTCAGGAGGCATGCCAACCTGGGTTTTACCCTGTGCTGTGTAGAAGGTCTGGGTCTTGAGTATCCATAAAGGTTCCCAAATGCTAGTACTGAGATCATCTAATAGTGCCTCTAGTTAAAGTGTGCATAGCAGAGTAACAGGAGAGGATGCAAGAGCAAAGGGAATTTTTCTATATTGGACTTTCATGGAAGTAACTTTCTCCAGTTTGTGCCCCTCAGGAAGTCAGTAACATTTTTCCATTGAACTAGAGAAATGAACAGAAATGTCAACAGAGGCATTGTAGTAGAAGTGTTTCTTTCATAGAATCATAGAATGGTTTGGGTTGGAAAGGACCTTAAAGATCAAGTTCCAACCCCCTGCCCTGGGCAGGGACACCCTCCACTAGACCAGGTTACTCGTAGTCTGGTATTTAGCAGATTATTTTTTTTCTTTTTAACAAAGAAATCTTGGCTCGGCATGTTAAGACTTGTGTCTTGGGGAAAAAAATAGGAGTTACAGTGATTTATGACTTCTTAATAAAAAGAATTTTCTAATAAGCTTCTTTAAAAAATAACATTACTGTTTGCTTTTTGGATGTATTCACCTTTTCAAAACCAATGTAACAAACTCACATGTATCAGCCAAGATCCTGCTGGGCTTTCCTATCCATTCCGGGTATGCGATTGCTATGTCAGCTCTTCCAGCAAAGTCAACGTTTACTCCGGTGTGTGGCAAAATGTTAGAATGGTGAAAAACCTGCACACAGATAGATCTGGAAAGTAGATAAAATAGGTGAGCGAGTATTTAACTGCACTGAAAGTTATGAGATTTCCTGTGAAATCACTTGAAGTAAAACATACCTCTCAAGGTGATGCACTTTGAAGCTTGTAGCATTCCCTTTTAGGAAGCGGTCCCAGCTAATGAGCTTATCATGTACTGCCGTCGCATTTTCCTTGGTTTCTAGTAGGCTCTTGTAAGCCTTGTGAAGCTGCCCTACTGGTAGTGTAACACCATGAATTAGTGTGGAGGCACAGGAATAGCCACTCTTGTAGACATCTGTCTGTTTTCAACAGACTGAATTGTGTTTTGTATAAAATTGGCAAGTATCTGCCTTCTGTAAGCAAATGATGTCATGTTCAGAGCTGCTGCAGCCCGGGGAAGTGCTTTGTTAGTGGATAGTTTGAGTAAGTTTACAGGGCCTGTGGTTCTTCAGTTACTTATCCCAGGACTGGACAGTCAAAAAAAAAAAAAAGTGAACACAAACCCCACCTTGATGTATGTCTTTCTCTGCTGGCTGTTATATATTACAGTTGCAGGCAGTATATGATTTCTTTATGAAGGTTTTCACTTGCTACTAAAATTAGGAGTTATTTGAATTATGACTTTTCGACTTTCTTCCAGACTAGCCAGAGTTTTTAACCTAAATATTTAACAGCTCTTGTTGAAATCTTTTTGTATGCCTCTTCAGACATAAGCAGGAAACAATACAGCAGTCAGCAAACGGAATTTCACAAAGTGGGCTGTTATACTTTTGTGATGAGATCTAATCTTTTTAATAGCTCGGCAATCCTGTGGCCCTTTCACTGGCCGGTAGCCCATCTCCTCTGGTGGGCTTGTGACTGCAGGAGGAAAGTCAGTCGTTCTGCTTGAACTTAGGAGTTATGATGGTGTTGGAGTTTTCTGAATTTTTTTGTTGTTTAAAGTGGTACCTCTGGAAGACATGATAGCGAGTCAGCATGACAGCACAGCATAGTTAAATCAGCACTTTGAAGTGAGAACTGCTGCTGGAGGTAAGCCTGCTTCCTTGGTGCTGCTCCTGCCGGTGCCATGGTGTGTGTTCCTCTGCTCCAACAGGCATTCCCCGGCCCCGCAGCATGCCGGGCTGGAGAGTCCTTCTTCCTCTCTTTGTCCTTTTCCACTTAAGTTCTTAAGTGTGAGCAAGATTTTTGATAAACACATATCGAATGGGCTGAAGTTGCGATCCAGTAGCGGTCACTGTGTCATTAGTAGTTAAGTGACTAAAGTTACACTGGAGATTAAATTCACTTTGTGGTCAAGCAGCATTTTGAAGGATGCTTGTTCTTTTCTTTGATTTTCTCAGTCTGAGAATGTTATCAAAAAGATTTGCAGAGATCCTAAAGGCAGTCAGCTATTACTCTGAGTTACAAGATATATTTTTAGTCTTGCCAACGATGATTTTCATGTTAAATTAATGGTCCCTGGAAATGGAATGCCAAGGAGGCCTTGTAGAGGGAGAATGAAAGATGAAGAGGCAGGCTGGCTTGACCTTGACGTGCTTAAATGTGTGGTCCTAAGGACCGAGGAGGGGACATGCTGGCAGAGAGCAGTTATGAGGCTTCTAGATAATTAGAGAATTTCTAATAAGCCTGACTGCCTTAAATTGGTCATATTAGATTCTTCATTTTATATATAACAATGATATGTCTGTGATACTGTTAAGGACATGGGAAAACTACTGCAGCACAATCTAGGATGAAGCTTTGTAGTGCACAGAATATTCTGTTAATGCATGTCGAGGTAGTTCATTCTAAGAATACATTGTCTTTTTCTTGACTTGCCATTTGAAAAGGGATTTTTATTCTTGTGGACTTCATATTGAATGCCTTGATACTAAAATTACAGCTTTGACCGGTGTTGAAACTGTTATAACAGATAGCTTAAAGAGGACAGGTAAAGTTTCATGGTGTGTGTTAGGGTGTATTGTGTGTTGCTAGTCCTGAGAACTGAATTTGTATAAAACAAATAGCTTAAAACATTGCAGACATCACCACTGCACATAGGGCTGGATTTAACATCTCTAAAAATACAGGAGTGTTCAAAGGCAGATTTCCAAAATGCCACTAAGTCTCTAGTCCTGTGTTGTGACCCTTGAGAATGTGGGACTGTATGTAGAAAGTCGCAGCATAGTATATCATCTAAATGTCATGAGAAGGGACCATTGCAGCATTGCTGACTTATTTA